CATTCCAGCATCGCCACCCAGGCCCTCCCTATTAAGCTGCTTCAATTTTCCAGATGCGACTGAGAACCAGCCAGCTCAAAGAGGTGGCATGCACAAGGGAAATCACGTCCAGCTACCTTTCTGGAGGATGGGTGGGCATTTGCCTAGCACCCCTACATGTACACACACACATCCCATGGGCTGGCGACAACCTGGACACATGCACTGCCGCACCCTATCATCTCTAGGACACAGATGTACCTCCATCTCAAGGTTCCTGGATGTCTCCTACCAGACAGAATTCATCTACCTCTTTGGGACGTATAGTCTTCACCTTTCAGAATCATCTTGCTCCTGGCCCACCCCCACAGACTTCCAGACAAATACTCCGATTTGGAGAGGAAATTAACCACCTTGCCTGTGTCCTAGTCCCCTCCAGGCCCACTGATGCCAATGCCCCAGGGTCCAGACTCTGCCTTTGCCCAGAATACACGGTTTAAACATCCGGTTCCAGCACCATCCTTTGGCATCCTGATACACTGCTGCCCTCTGCTGGCAGTTTCAAGATAGTACTTAGAAATCAGTACAAAAAGAGCAACCATCCATCATCCTAGTGGAAAAATGAGTATGGGACAAGAACAAGGAAGTCACAGAAGAAAAAATGAATATAAAAAAGTTTACCCTCACTGGTAAATCAAATAAATTCAAATTAAAACAAGAGGGACATGTGGCTCCTCCTCAACCAGATTAGCGATGATGGAAAAGAATGACAATGTTTGGATGAAGATGGTGATAATGGTGCCACATGAAAAATATAATCGCTGTCACTGAGTTGTAAATGTGGAAGTTGTGTTGGCAGATGCTTTGGTGTGTGTTTTCACTACAATTAAAGAAGAGGAAAAAAATGGTTAGCTCTTAGAGCTAGGGCTCTTTTTTTTTCTTTTCTGCTTATTCGTATTTCCTAATTTTCTACAGTGAGCATGCATTCATTATGTGTGGATCAGCAACATAAATTACTCAGGGGTGGTACAAAGTTTCCTGGAGCCCCTCTGTGGGAAGCTGGAGACCACGCCGGGCATAAACAGCCTGGCAGAGCTAGTGGCCCCTTTGCTGCCTACCCACACCAGCTCCCGGGCCCTGAACCTGGGCCTTGCTGCCTGCCACCCACAGCCCCCGACAGGTACAGCAGTGCCTGAACTTCAGGCCAGCAAGTCCCGCAATAGAGCGGTTATGGGTTTAGCCTGGGTCAGACCCAGCTGCAAATACCAGCTGTTATTTAGTTAGAAGTAAAATAAGTAGTGAGCCCTAGTGATGTAGTGGTTAATAGCTTGGCTGCTAACGAAAAGGTCAGCAGTTCTATCTACCAGTCACTTCCTGGAAACCCTATGGGGCAGTTCTACTCTGTCCTATAGGGTCGCTATAAGTCAGTGAGGATCCAGTGAGCTATCCATGAGAAGTGTTTAACAGCACCTGGTACGGAGTCAGTGCTGAGCAAGTCTAACCCAGTGGAGGCCTCCACACCGGGAACTCAGTTCCAGCTAAGACGCTGGTGAACATTTTTTGTCAAAGATGACAGGATGCAGTTACCCTAGTATAGTGTAAACCCAGACAACAGCAAGTGGGACTCCCACTTCAAGGGCTCCTGGTAACCACAGACTCCATCTCCATCCACATCTGGATTAGACTGAGCTTCTGTCCTGCATTATGGACTGGGGGAAAGGCCGCCATGTGCTAGGCCCATGCAAGGCACTACAGTAAAGAAGAGCACAGTCCTTGTTCTCAGCTCACACTCCAGCCAGGCAGACAGATGCCTTCACCAAGGACTACACTGCAGAGCTAACAAGAAGCCCAGGAAAGGCATGGGGTACTAACACGGCACAGAGGGCAATGAGAGGTCAGGAAAGGTTTTCCTGGACAAGGGGGAGGTACGGAGGAAACCCAGGCAGAGCACAGAGTGAATTACACTAGAAAGGAAGGAGGGCATCTTTTCCACGGGAGCAATGGAGGTGAGAATGAGTGTAGATGAGTCTGTAGGCGAAAACAAGGAACAGGATTTTCCCAGCTGTCCTCCATTTTCCCAAAGTAGGAGTGTTTGATCATCTGTTGAGTGAGCAAGCTGTAATGGTGTAAACTACTTTACGAGAATGGTGTAACTGTAACAGCTGTCAGGAATGAGTGAGGGCTAACTGGAGACACAGGATGGGGTTGTTCACCAGCTCTGAGCACCCACTTAAGGTCCGACAACAAATCTGTAGTTGGGTGATTTCTTCAGCAGTTGTACGAGAAGGAAAAGTAACCAACTAGATTAACCCACAGTGGGGTTTGTTAGGGAAAAGCCATGCAAAGACAGATATAAATGACCCTGAGCAGAGCTGTGCTGCCTCCTCTCTTGGTTTCCCCGTCACTGGTTTGTCAGCTTCATCCCGAACCAAGGATAGCAATTCCCATCCTTTATCAGCCCAGCATTCCCTTTTTATTATGAATACTTTGTTAACACCCACCTTTACTGTCCTGAACTCAAGTCCCAGACAATCTACCTAACTCACAAGTGTTTAAAAAAAATCCATGTAATGCCCTTAGGGTAATACAAAGATGGAGAATGAAATTCATAATAAAATGTGGATTGCAATCTGTAAATCTCAAGCATAACTACAAGAAGAGATTTACTAAAGCAGTCAGATACTCATGGCTGTATGCAGAATTACCAGGAAGACACAGGTACAATCCCAGACCAAGGTATTCTATACTTGACACTCACAAACACCAGTAGTAGTGTGATTGGTTCTCCAGGACCAGTACAAATCAAACTACTGCACTGGAATAGATACAAATTGTTTTTGTTTCCTTTTTAAATAAAATATTGGAAGTCTCAGGCTGTTAGAATAGAGTATAGGAACTGGTTTCAGGCAACCCAGCATCTCAGAGATGGAGAAAATAGCAAATAGGTAAAAAAAAAAAATCACATGTAGTTTATCATCTCAGCTTCTTTGGACACCACATTTCTTAGGCCTGGAAAGTTGGCGGCAGCAGGGGCGGGGGGTCCTACTATCATTGGTGGCCATCTCAGATCTGGAACACAGGAATGCCCTGTATGGGGGCGGGGGAGCTTTGACCACCTCCCTGTTACCCAAGTGGACACTACAACATCCCTCATCTGGACAGACAGTGAACAACAAGGTCTTCAGGAGACAGGAAGCCCAGGGTTAAAAGTGACTGGGGCCAACACAGAGGCACTACTACTGGGCAACTTTATTCATCACAGCAGTGTCTTCTTCCTACCCAAGATGTTTCACTGTTGATGAGGACTCTTCTGAATATTCTGTTCATCCATATTTGTGTGTCAAACACCTCGCGCGTGTCAGACCTGAACCCAGCTGTCACAGCATGCCAGGCGGGAAGAGCAGAGCTCGGAGGCCAGGTCTCCTACTGGATGGCCAACAGAGCCATGACATGAAGCCCTGGAGTGTGGTCAGCTTTCAACAGTCATCTCCAGCCAGGATAGTGTTCCCACAACGTCTGGAGCCCCCATCCCACACTCTGCTTCCCCACAAGGTAGCTGGGTGAGTATGGGAAGCAGAGGCCATGGTGTGCCAGGTGTCAGCGAAAAGGGTCAGCTTTGGGGGCAGATTCTAACTGAGAATGTAACATAGAGAAGACAGCCAGAAGGTCGAAGTCAGAAGATCTAGGAGTGCTTGTTCTGCCATTTACCATGAGGGCACTTTGAATCTTTGAGTTCCATCTTCTCGTATGTAAAGTGAGGATGACTGTAATAATTCTTACCCTCACCAACCTCGGAAGACTGTCTGGTTGGAGAGAATTAGAGTTATTGTGCATGAAGACACTTTGTAAAGCACACTTTAAAAAAGCCAGTTGCTCTCGAGTCAATTCCAACTCACAGTGACCATGTGTGTGTCAGAGTCGAACTGTGCTCCACAGGGTTTTCAATGGCTGATTTTTCAGAAACAGACCGACAGGCTTTTCTCCCAAGGTGCCTCTGTGTGGACTCAAACCTCCAACTTTTCAGCCAAGAGCGTTAATATTTGTACCACCAGGGACTCCATAACACTTTACGAACATATTATCATTATTGCCATTTTTTAAGGAAGATGAACCTACAAGTCCTTAGGGCCTTCGGGCAGTCAAGTGAGCAGTGGTCACAGGTCCGTGATCACACATTTTACACACGTCAGAAGTCACATCATGCAGTCTGCTCTGCAGTGGGGACACAACTCGCTGAGAGTGAATGTGCTGTTTGGGCTCTAGAAAGAATAGCGGAAAAACCGGTGAGCCTGGGAAGTGATCAGCTTCTCTCAGGGATATTGAGAAATGTTTCCAAGAATTTCCTCAAAATGTGTTCCATCGGATATTACCAAAAAAGATTCTGAAATCAGTGGGGGAAATGGGCTTCCTCACCCAGGACGGCTCCGAGATTTAAGAATGAATTTCCAATGAGGATATGGGGTGCGGGGTGTGCCAAATTTATTTAACAACACTACTCTTTTTCCAGAAAGCAGCTGACTAAGGGCTTCATGAACTGTAAATGCTGCATTTAACAACTCTCCAGCTGGGCATAATGTTATGTGGGCACAGGGACCAGCTTAAAAGTGACCTGAGAATGCTCTGTTAACATTCGATCAATGGTAGGCAGCAGCTGGGCATTTTAGAAAAAGGAGAAATCCATTTTCACCATGGTACTGAAATAACCACATTTCCCTGAATCCCCCTTATCCCAACCGCTCAAAGTCCAGCAGCTATGCAACCCCACACTTCATAGTCACATACATTAAATCTACGCTTTTATTTTTCATTCTAAAATGTGCTCTTTCCTCGCTGAACTTTAATAGCAGTCTAGGACCTCCACCTCCCCTTTCAAAACAATACCACCACACACACACACACACACACACACACACCCACACACCCACACCCACACACACACACCCACACCCCCACACCCCCCACCACCTTCCAGCCAGGTGAAAAAGTCTCGGCGACTAGTCTATAACAAATATTGACACATGGGGGAAAAAAAACGCATGTTGAAATGTATTAGAATCAGAACCTGTACAAAAAAAAAAAAATTAAAATATATCCTGAAACTGTTCAAGTTCAGAAAGGCTAGTCAAGTCCTTTTCTCTTGCCAGGAGAATGCCATCATCAGAGGGCTCTGGGTCCCCAGCCAAGGAGGGGCGGAAAGAAAGAGACAGAAGCAGCAAAAGGTCCTTCACCAGACAGTGGGGCCTCAGCACCACTGTCCCCACAGCTGGTGCAGCTGGGAGGGTAACAGGTCTTGGGAGAGTGCGTGCTGGCAGACGGCCCCATGTGCAGCTGGGGCCTGCACACCGAAAACAAGTCTGCAGAGTCACAGACAGCAGGAAGAGCGGCCAGCAGAGAACGTCAAGCCGGAGAAACCACTTCTGCCACTCAGCAGACCCACCGCACCCTCTGTCTGTGCTCAGATACCAGAGGTTAGTCAGCCCAGCGCTCCCAACTAATGAGAGATCGGTGCCAGGCTTAAGAGGCTGCAAACCCGCAGGTTTAGTAAACATAGCCCAGCGACACATCCCTCCACGGCCTCAACTGGAGCTGCCAACAAGGGGTAAGGCAGGAGAGGGGACACAAAGCATTTGATACCTGGCTAGAGACGGCCTGCACCGTTATGGGTTCTGTGGTACATGGGGCTGAAGGCCCACCTCCCTCCTCATCAGAGAGAGGCCACCTTCAGTCATCCCTGTGGGCCGGGAAAAGCCACCTCCGGCTTAGGACCAGCCTGGCAAAATGACATGACCACTGCATGGAGCAAAAGGGAAACTTAGAGGGAGACAAGCCCTTGAACAGAGACAAGAACCTCCTCGAGGGAAGCTGGGCAGTGTCTGACCCTGCAGGATGGCATCAGTGGAGCCCCTGAGTCTGAAGGAACAAAGGGGGAAAAGAGGAAGTGGGTGAGGGAAAGGAGTCATGGTGTTTCTTGAACAGTACCAACACGGGGAGGCGCTGGTGAGGGGACGGGCAGGTCTGGAACTCACTGAAGGTAGAGAGGGGAGGAAATAGGCCCTTGGTGTCCCCTCCCCACCTGACCCAGGCCTGGTGAGTGCCAGCTGCCCTAGCCGGCCCTAGTGGCGGCTAGAGACCAGACCTTTCACTTTGGACATCTTCTTGGTGGGCTGCCTCTGCTCAGCATGAGGGGGACACTCCCGTTCAGCCAACTGTTGCTCCATCTCCTGAGCTGAGGAGGATGCGGTGGCTTTGAGTGTCTTCTTGATGTTGGTAACCTGGAGGGAGAAACAGAATGAGTGTGTTCAGCCTGGAAGCACCAAAAGTCACTGATGCTTGTTCTTACTATGATGAGCACCACACAGAGAAGCTACCACCCTCTGTAAGAAAACCTAGAATTTTCTTCAGCAACCTCAGGAGGAGAAGCAAGCAGGGCTACTCAAGAAGACATGTGAAAATGAGTCAAGTAAAAAAGGATGGAACTAATGCTTTCTTTGCTGAAAAGAGAGTATAAACAAAGTAGACCATTTGGCAAAGAGGTGCTTAAAATCAGGCCTTCAAACCGGTCCAGAACAGTTCAGGAATGGTTCAGTAATTGCCAGTGTAAACGCAGGCACTGCACGCATTGCATAGCAACCAAATCTGTTGCTCATCGATTCTGACCCAAGTAGGAAACAAACTGCTTGTTTTAGGCTGGGTTATCTAGAGAAGCAAAACCAGTGAAGTGTATACATATATAAAGAGAGATTTATCTCAAGGAAATGGCTCACGCGGTTGTTAAAGGCTGGCAAGTCCCAAGTCTGTGGATCACGAGTCAGGCTGGAGGCCTCCCCTGACTCACATAGATACAGGGGTTGACAAACCCAAGATCAGGAGGTCAGACAGCAGGCTGCTGGTTCACAAGCTACAGAAGCTGATAAATCCCAAGATCGGCAAGCAATACAGCAGGCCGCTGGCTCAAGTCCCAAGAACTGGAGGTCAGATGATGACGAGCCAGATGCAGGATCCAGAGCAAGCAAGCTTTGCCAGGGCATCCATATATATATCAGATGCAGGCCACACCCCCGAGGAAACGCCCCTTATAACTGATTGGCTCATCACATCAGATCACATCATGGAGGATGACTACACCATTACATAACTGCCAAACCACATCATTACATAACTGCCAAACCACTGAGAATCATGGCCCAGCCAAGTTGATACACAACCTTAACTACCACACTGCTCAAAGATGGCAGCCAACCGCACAACTCTGAACATGTGTTACTCTTCACAGTCCAGCCAATAATCCAATCTCCTGCATGGATCCCAAAAGTTTCAGGAGCCTGATTCGGGAGACTGGATTATTGGCAGGACCATGGAGAGCAACACACATTCAAAGCAGCGTGGCACCTTTAAGCAGGGCACTGCTGTTTGTTTCCTACTCAGGTCAAAATCCACAGGCAAGAGATTTGGTTGCTGTGCAATGCATACAGTGCCCTTGTTTACAGGGGCAATTACTGAACCACTCCTGAACTGTTCCGGACCAGTTTGAAGCCTTCCTTAAAATGTTCTTAGAAAAACAAAAGAGCCCAAGAATTCTATACTCAGCTGTTGTTCATGTATAAAACCACAAATATTTTCACAAGAACTTTGGGAGACAGGTTCATGAGCCCTTCTTAAATAAACCACTGAAGGATGAACTTCAGCCAACCAAGTGCAAATGAAGAAAACCTAGCAAAAGAACTGGCAAAATGCTACCACACAACCGTTGTGCAGCATATTTTTTTCACTTAACAAAGTAGGGGTTCAAAAATATTTAAACTCCTGAGCATTTTTCCATGCCAGATCTCATACCCTCTGTAACACCCCGGTACTGGTCTATCAGGGATGTTCCATAATTTCTGAATTAGTTCCCGTTTTCAGAGTTTCACTTATAGACAGTGGCAGTCCCTACATGTTACCTTTGCTTACTTTCCTGAGTATCTGTGGAGGGCATATTTCTAGACGTGAGCTTTCCAGATCAAAAGGTATGTGCTTGTTACATTTTAATAAGTACTGCTATCTTGTCTTCTAAAAGATGACTGTACCGACTGTGCACTTCCACCAACTGGGAACTCCAGTGCTGTTTATACACGTATTGCCCAACATCCATTCTAATGGCTCCTTTATATCTTTGCTCTTCAACTAGTTGAGGAAGAAAACGGGGAGGAAAAGCAGGAAGAGGAAGGAGGTGGTAGGGAAGAGTTCTCAGGCAAATAATAAATAGTAGCCATTTTTTCATCATTGGAGAAGGGTGGGTGCAGAGTCAGGTGTGTTTGTTGGTGAGAAAACTGAGGGCTTCCCTGTTTGATGCTTCAGTGTTCTCTGGAAAGCAGGAGTGATGGTCTTCTATAGAGCCAGAAAGGGGTTGTCAGGGTCAACAGTTCTGAACAGCCAGAGTATCAGGAGCTAGAGTAACAGGCCGAACGCAGACACAGAACACCGCAATGAGAGTGAGGAAAAAAAGCCAGGTTCCTGCGGGAGATTTCTCATCTGCAGAATGAACCTCAATTAGATTACAGGTCATTTCAGTTTTTTGTTTTGAGATGAGGGAAACAGCTTGCCCTCAAACTGCTGTAAGCGCATTCAGCATTACAACCCTGTGGAAGGAGAGCTAAGAGGACAGTTTGCTGTGCACGGCCAAGCTGCAGGGCAGTCTACCAGTCAGCTCAGGGTCACCCAGGGTCCTGCCAGACCAACACATACTGCCTGGGAGCCGGGCTCTGCCTGTGCGGCCAGCTCACTGCTGCTTCCACCTGTCTCGTCAGCAGAGCTACCTGGTGAGCTCGTAAGTGTAGAATTTGGAGCAGGTGGATGGCTTACCACTCTTTCTCTTATAAACGAGATACTTGTCTCTATTTGTCTTACTTCAAGGCATATTTTGATGGCCTTCGAGGACAGATTAAGAAATGTAATTTCTCAGTTACCGCTGCTTCATAAATTAACATTCTCTCCAGTTTGATATGCTAAGTATTCTGAGGAAAATTCATTAAAATCTTAGTAAGAGGCAACAGAATGATTTTAGTTTATTTCCTGACATGTCAGTTACCTCTGACTTCCAATGCGTTAAAACATCTTGCAGCTTAAAAATACACGTTAAGAAAATGAAAGAAACCAGCACAACTTGTACAAGGAAAGGTCATGGAAGCTTCATGGACACATCCAGACTCCCTGAGGGACTGAACTGCTGGGTGGAGGGCTATGGGGACCATGGTCTCGGGGAACATCCAGCTCAACTGGCATAACACAGTTTATAAAGACAATGCTCTACATTCTACCTTGGTGAGTAGTGTCTGGGGTCTTAAAAGCCTGTGAGCGGCCATCTAAGATACTCCACCGGTCTCATCCCTTCAGGAGCAAGGGAGAATGAACAGAACAGGATACAAAGAAAAGATTAGTCCGAAGGACTAATTGTCCACAGCTACCAAGGCCTCCACCGGACTGAGTCCGGTAGAGCTAGATGGTGTCTGGCTACCACCACTGACTGCTCTGACCAGGATCATAACAGAGGGTTCTGAACAGAACTGGAGAAGGATGTAGAACATAACTCTAACTCACAGAAAAAAGACCAGATTTACTGGCTTAAAGGAGACTGGAGAAACCCTGACAGTATGGCCCCCAGACACCCTTTCAGCTCAGTGGTGAAGTTGTCTCCGAGGTTCACCGTTCAGCCTAGGAGTGGAAAGCCCCGTAAAACCAAATGGGACTAACGAGGTACAGCAGTCCAGTGACAAGGGCCAGAAGGCAGAAGGGGAGAAGGAAGCGGGTGATAGGGAACCCGAGGTTGAGTAAGGATATTGTTGATGTGTTGTAAGATTGTTAACCACTGTCATAGGGCAACATTCGTAGTAACTGTTAAATGAGAAA